CCCCATCTCCCCTCTCCCGACCTTGGCACCCAGGGCGGGGGGAGTCGTTTGTTGTAGCGCATACACCATCAGGATACTTTCCCACTCAGTCCTCGCGACTCACGCCACCTTGCAGGAAAATAATAGCTCCGGCCTCGCTGGCTTTAGCGTTCTGCTTTCCGGATGACTGGATTTCTTTGCTTGCTTCTCCTGTCGGGGACCCTCTGAAACTGGCCCCAAGCTGCGTTCCCAGGGAACTCCCCCCCCCACACACACACACACCCACCCACACACACCCTCAGATTCCACTCGGGGACTAAAGAGCGACTCACTTCAGCGTTCTCCATAAGAGGAGCTCCATCCATCCTGGCTGTATAAACCAAACTGGGAAAAGAAAACTGGAAGAGGGGATGGGGGGCGAGAAGAATCGCTCCTGCAGACCTCGCCCCTCCTCGGCCTTGGGGGGACCCCTGCGGGTATCCACTCCGAGCCACGTGGGGCGGCCCCAAGGGACACGCACCCCACCCCCACCTCAAACGCTTTGGAAAATAAACTGCAGAGAACAATAAACTCTGAAGGACAGGGAGACGTGGAGGGGGAAGAGAACACTTGTCTTTCACCGCCACCCCCTTTTGGACATTCCTTAAGTTTAATCATTAAAGTGGATCCTTTATAAAGGAGGCAGCAACTTAAGGCTGCCGTTTCTGACAATCTGCCCTACACACTCTCAGTGAAGTGAAAGACCTGGATCTAGCTTTGTTGCTTCGCTACCAATAGCAGACTTGGAGAGACCAAACCTCTGATTTCTGGCCACATCAAAGCACTGATTATGCAAATACCCATTTTTTAAGAATAAAAGAAAATGGAGGGGGAATTATTTATCACACAATGAACCCCCTGCTGGGGCGGGAAACAATAGATCAGACCAGATAGCCCTTGTAGCCCCAGGCTTGGGGGTAGGCGGGAGGGACGGGTGATGGAGCCCTCACGTTTTATTGGTCTAACCTAATTTCACTAATTCTCTTTTCACACATTTCTTTTGCTGCTTCGGAGGCCGGGACTTTCACGCTCCCAGGAGCGCCCTGCACTGGTGCGATTCAAGGGCTGCCCGCTTTATTTAATTAATACATTCAAAGCTCGTCTGGGAGCCCGAGGGGGTGGAGAGAGACCAAGGCCGAGGGTGAGGAGAAGGCGCTTTTAACTGGTTCCAGGTGTTGGTGCCCAGAAGTCACAACCTGCCCAAGGCTGGGCAATGCAGGAGGTGTGTACCCGGCGGGTACAGTCGCCTCAGTTCCCCACCTTGCCGGCTGGCCGGGTCCTTTAGCAGCCCAGAGACCCTGCAAAGCCAACCCGCGAGTGAGCACCGCTGAAGCCGGCCTTGGGCCCGGACGACTTTCCTAGGCCATGGGAGTAGACTTTGGGAAGGACTGACTGGGCCCTCGATACCTGTGTCCAAGGCTGCCCGGTTCTTCCGGTGACCTCTCCTCCGTCGGTGCACTAGGGACCGCGGAGGCCTCAGTCACATCTTTCGCCTCCAGTGGGGTCTGGGCCCCGCTCCCAAGGCTGGGCTCACGGTTGGCAGCAGGCTTCTCTACTTTTCTCCCCTCCTTCTTGGCCTGAACTGGCTGTATTTAAAATCTGATGAAGGAAAAACGAGCCGTAACAAAGCCTAGGCACTTAGAACACATCAATATAACCAACGCCGGGTCCCTGGTGACGCTAAATCCACGCTCCAATGAGTACAGGACAACCCTTGCGCCTCTAGGCGCTCAGCCAAATGCGCCTAGCCAAATGCGCCCTAGAGCACCCACTGGCGCTGGAAAGATCTATCAACTCTGGTAGTGTGAATTATCATCAGAAGAAAATCTCTCATCAAAGAGCCACCAGAGACAGAATGGTGTACTCAGAGGCCCAATGGTCAAAACGTGGGGAGGGAAATGTATAAAATAGAAAAGAGAAATTGTTCCCTATTGCAGAAGACTTGGTTTGTACCCTGTAATTGTACTCATTCCTACCGAAAGGCTTAAAGGACCACTGGGCCTCAGTCCTTTAGGCTGAGGAGGTTCTGGGGGGTTGGGGAGAACTCCCAGGGCTAAGTGAGCAGTCGGTTCATTCTTAACTGCTGAAGATGATTAGATACCATAAAAACAATTGCACTAATTTAGAGTAAAATGAAGTGCACTTAGATGGACAAGGGAAAACCTGTAGATTGATCTCAGATGTAGACAGAACCCCTGGCGTGTATGACGTGCTTCTGGTGTGTATGAGGACCTGCAAGTTCTGGCTTTGAAAAGGTGGACAAGTCTCTGGTCTTGGAAAAACTGAGTAGAGATGGCTACCAGATGCTGCTAAACTGGGGGTTGAGTCATTAGCTGTATTACACTTAGTCAAGGCTAAGATTATTGGGTCATCTACCCATCCCTGCCTCTCCAACTAAGTCATTAAGATCACCTGTTTATAGGTTGACCTCACCAACTGGAGAGTATTTCCATGGCTGGAAAACTAACTACCCCCAGGATCTGCCACAACAGACTTGTGCCATGAATTGTTTCATGAGCAAGTTTCCAGAGGAAGCACAATATTTCATCATAAGTATATTAATGGAACAGGCGTGGCTTGGCATCAAAACTGATGTTTTCAAACTTTCTTAAGTCCTTTGCTTGCTTGACTTGGATTTTAAAACACTTAAAACATAAATGTGAATAACAGAAATATCACTTTCTCCCCATAACAGATGATTTGTTGTTGGCTGAGAATAAGTCTATCTTTAAATTAGAAGGGATTTTTCAACAGGTTCCTCTTATATTCAGTAAGAAAACTAAACAAAAACCTTGAGTTGTTTCTTCCTTTGATAAAAATTGAGTCATTAAAATATGAAACATTGAATATTTTCCCTATGGATGGAAAGAAGGAGCAATCCCAGATAGATATCTCAGGAAAAAAATATCATTGCTTTATGCAGAGGAGTGGAGGATTTCGTTCAAAGCAGAAGTAGATCTTCATGGGTAGTTGAGTACCTTGAGCTACCATCACTTTTTTTAATAATATGTTTTTGTTTTGTTTTGTTTTTTAAGTTGGTGGTTTCATAGACACCCTCCCCCAAGCAACCTAATCCTAGAATTGTACTCAATCCTAGAATGTGGTCCACTTTAACTTGGTCATTTTTAAACCAAGGTCAACCAAAGGTCATTCATTTCTGCATTGGAGATTAAGATGAAAGTTACATCATTTTTGCTTCCTCCTTTAAAAAGTTTTGAATACGTAATTACTTGGACAAATATTAGGGAGCAGAGCTATTTCTTTCAGATGTATTCTTTTTATTCAAGCTCACTCTTTCCTCCACCCCAGGAGTTTGTTTTTTTCACACCAACTAGCTTGTTAAAATAGCTAATGCAAAATCAACTTCCAATAATGAATTTATTTGTTCCATTGTGGATAATAGAGCTGGAAGTGGGATGCTTAAGCATCATTTTCCAATCAGTACAGTTTACAAATGAAAATTGAAGCCAAAAGAAGAGTATGAGCCAAATTTCTACACTCTCCACCAAGAAATTTCAATTTCATTATTTTTTAAAGCCAAGATTCTGAACTGTGGGGTTTATTGTGACTTAATTATCATTCAAGTTCTTCTCTACCCTTTTTTGCTCACTTTGTTCAGAAATCGATTTCTTACAAAGTTTGTGTTTGTATTGGGAGTAAGGAATAATGTTATTTCAGCTTCTCATAATTTCTTAGTGAAACACCACACCAAACATTGCCAACAAATACAAGTGCTATATTCAATTAACAAGGGGAGAAATTCAGGGGGGAAAAACCCACAACTTATTCTGTATGTAAAAGTCACATAAGCCAGAGAAAGTTAGAATATAATACACAAAACTTATGAAAATTAGATACTTTATTTATAGCTTGATCACAAGAACAATTTTCTTGTTCTTCAAGATGTAAATACATACTAGAATAAACTCTGTAGAATATACAAAAAATACATACTTTTCCCATGAAATTTTTCTTTATAATAAATAGAAGAGAACACGTGTGTGGCTGATTCAGATAATGCTCCGTGTCTGCTTAGGTTTTCAGACTGTTGATTTATTTCTAATCTCTTGAAAGAATGGAGGAGTTCCTTCTCCCCTAAAAGGTCGAGATAAATAATGCATGAAGCAATCCTCCCTCCCGATTTTTCCCTTTTCCTCCACATTTTTGCTTTTGATAGAGAGTTCAGCCTAAATTTCCACGCTTGCATTCAATCATTACAAAGCCTACAAATTATACAATGACTTCTAACCTGGCCCTCTAACAAAACAAGTTTTTCCCCCCTTATAAATCATAAGAGACAGATGGCAAAATGGGGAAGAAAAAGGAAAGAGAAGAACGGAACAATAGGCATTGTGACGAATCTGGGAAAAAGAACAAAGTGCACATCAGAAAGGGAAAGTTTGGTTTGACAGGTGAAATTCCCACAGCCTGCAGACAGCAATGGGAATAAAGCAGATGCCAGCCATTGCAAATCTGTGGATAATATTATTACCGATAAAATCATTCAGATGCTAAGATCCATGTCTTTTTACTCGACATTAACATCTCTATGTGGAAGCAAAGGTGAAGAGATCACAGGAACCAGTTGCATTCCCCTTGGGAGATTCACACGAACTGCACCGAGTTGCCCCTCTGGCGTTTCCGAGAGAGGGGAGGAGCGTCATTCCGCTCTACAAACTCGTTAGATATGCCACCCTCATCTCTTCACAGCGTCCTTTTAGTCTCAGGAAGCGCCCCCAAACGCCACTATCCTCTTTGACTCATCATACCTTCAATAAATCAGAACCCGACTGAACGAAGTTAACCCCAAAGCCTAGGAATGCAACAACCAACCGAGAAATCACAACGGCTACATCTGCTCTAAGTGAGGTGGTTTCCAGGGAGTGAAAAGTAGGGGCAAGGAAGAAATGGGAGGAGGGCTTGGTTGGAACCAGGAAAGAGAACCCACTATGGCCCTGGCGTGGGAAGCAGAGATGGCAGCTCTAGATACAATCCCTGGCTATGGGGAGGTGAGGTGCATAGCGGTGCTTGTCGGGAGGTGGGGGCTGCCAATAGTCCATGTCTGACCCTGTGGGGCTGGCGGGAGATAAAGTGCAGCTGTAAGGAGAGGTGGAATTGGAGGACGAAGAAGAGGATGGTGCGGGGCTGTTGGTGCAACTCCACGTGGAAGAGGGCGATGGGCTGTCTCCGCTGCTGCTCAGAGCGGCGCTAGCGCCTCCGGGACTCAGCAGCACCGCCTCCGAGAAGAGCGCCCCCGGCAGGCCCCCGCCCCCGCCCCCGCAGTGGTCGGCCAGGCGTAGGGTCTCGGTGAGCGCCCAGATATAGTTGTGAGCAAAGCGTAGCGTCTCGATCTTGGTGAGCTTGGCGTCCTCGGGGAACGTGGGGAGCACCTCGCGCAACGCATCCAACGCCGCGTTGAGATTGTGCATGCGGTTGCGCTCGCGGTTGTTGGCCTTCAGTCTGCGGGTCTTCTTGATTCGCTGCACAGTCTCGGCAGTTTTGGCGCCGCGGGAGACTGCCCGTGATCGGGAGGGGCGCCGCTTGCACTCGTGTACCAAACCCAGCAGCCGCGCGGGCCTGCAGCCCTCGGCACCCGCCGCTGAGTTGCCCCGCGCCCCCTGCCCGGCCTCGGCCCCAAGCTGCAGACGCGCCCCTCCCGACGCGCCCAGCTCCTCCTCCTCCTCCTCGGCGCTGGATGACAACGGGGTCAGGGAGGCTGAGGCTGGGGAAGCCGAGCCGAGCAGCACCAGCACGTCCTCCTCCTCCTTCAACTCCAAGGTCTCGGATTTGACGAACATCCTACGGAAGAGAGCAGGGAAGGAGGAAAAGGCAAATGAGATGTATATATACAAACGGACACGTTCTCCCTGACACTGTGCGTGCCGGGTAGGCGCACCCGCAATGACAGGCTCCGAAAGGCTCAAAGGAGGAACATAATTGGGGGAGGAAACCTAATCAGTGCTCTTCCGGACCCAAGTAGGAACAGCAGCCTTAGCAACAGAAATACTGCGGGGAGTAGAGGGCGTGCAGGCGTGGTTCTACTAAGTGGAGGAAACAGCCTCCGAAGTTGGAAGCCACGGCGTGGATACTTACCTAGTTGGTTCTAATGTGCTGCAGCGTAACTATTACTTTGGCGTGTGCCTGGAATCTCTCCGCACTCGGGAGCAACGCTGTGTCCTTCTCTACGCTGGAAAGAAGCGGGCCTGGCGCTACTGTGGCGCGGCTCTGCAGGGGACCTCTCTGACGGGCGAGTTTGCCAAGAGCCCCGGCGGCGGCGGCGGCAGCCCGCCCGGGTCTCGTGTGTTGTGGTGGTGGTGCGTGTCTGTCTGTCAGTCAGTCCCTGGCGGTGCGGCTCTTGGCACGCGACTTCCAGGCACTCCAGTTAAAGCGAAGCTGCTTGTGGTTCAGTGGCTGCGTGTCTGGCACACGACTCTCCTTAAAACCCCTTATATACCACCAAGAAAACAATCAGATCTGCCCCCGGGCCCCCACCTCACCGTACCCTCCCCCCTTCGCCGTCTCCTCCTCCCTCCTGTCCTGACCCCCCTTATCCCCCGCTTTTCCCTTCCCGGCTTATTCTTTTCATTGCATTATCATCATTCATTTCTTTCTCTTTCTTTAGCCCCTTCCCCTCCTCCCCCGGCCCTGCCATCCATCCTCCTCCTCCCACCTCCCCCGCCTCTCCTTCCCCCCTTTATCTAATCAGCATAAAATGGTTCTAAAGCTCCTGTTGGAGCTCCAGGCTGCATCCCGAGCTGCCGAAGCCGCGGCGGCGGCAGCGGCTCAAGCTGCGGCTGTTGTCGCGGCCGCTGTCCATTGTGATTGGTGGCTCGCGCTCGGCTGGAGCGTGCCGCTAATTTATTAATGAATGGAGGTCGCGAGGCGCAGCTGGCCAATCAGGGCGCCCCGGACTCCGGGAGGCCTTCGAGCCACGCGCACCGGAGCCCGCTCCCTTTCAGCAGCTCATTAGGGGCCCGAGCTCTGGGGGCTGATGGGGGGACCCGGGGTACCACCCCCGCCCCTGTCTCGCGGCCGCCACAGCTACCCCCGCCCCAACGCGCTCGCACACGCATCCCACCCAGCGCTGCTCGGCCTTCTAGCTCGCAGGCGATGGGAGCCGAGGAATTAGTTAATGGGGGTCAGAATCCTGGGGAAAGCAGTTAGCCTTGTGGTGCTGCCGGGAGTCTCTTGGCAAAGCCTCTTAGGGGCTGTATCAAATGGTCCACGATTTTTTAAACACATTCATTTTGCTAGGAAAGGAAAGGGATATGGATGGCAAGCTGTGGGCACTTTGTGAGCAAGGAGTTTGGGGTCCAGATAAACTGGAGTGGGAGGGTGACGTGAGAGGACATTGGGAATTCACAGAGGCGTCTCCTACAAGGGAAGATGTAGTTGGAGCATTTGATCAGCATTTAGAGAATGCAAGAATCAAGAGCACTCGTGTTAGAACCTCTTTTACCTGAGGCACACTGAGGCTTCTGTCATTAACATAGTTTTTTTTTTTTTTTTTTTTTTTTTTTCTTGAGAGGGGAGAAGGTTAACCTTGGTTTAGAGAGAGGCGGGTAAGTAAAGGAGGCTTCCTGCGTGGGTGGTAGCCAGCAGAACAGGAGGAGTGGCGGAGCTGTTGCTCCTGCGAGCGAATAGGCTGCGCTGACATTTCTGTGACCTCTGGTCCGCGCTGGGGGGCGTTGTAGGGACATGGGGCCCTTCCTCCCAATTCTCCCTCTTTTCAATGAGAAAAAAGAGCTGAAGGGCTACTGGACTTAGGAGGAAACTTGTTCTAAATTACACTTAGCCCTCCCCTATTCCCCCTAACTCAGGCTCACCCTCTTGTCACCATGGCTGATTTTTCTTAGAGGCAGAACCAGGGACCCCTTAAATGTGCGTTGGAGCCAGTTTTACTTAGCAGTTACACGAGTGGTGGGATAGATCTGGACTCCAATAAACTATAGAGTCATCTCTTGAGATCCCTTTTGCAAATTAAGTTTATAGGAGGGGAAGCTGGAGTGTTAGAAGTCCAAGAAAGGCAAAAGAATATTATTTTCTGATATTTGTCTCCCTGGACTTGTAGAACTTGAAAATAAGTTGTGTTTCAGTGGGTTTTTAGTGTTTTTGACGTGGTCTTCTCTTGTTTAATGTTTCTGCAGGGAAGTAATGAGCAAGATTGGAAGGCACAAAGTGCAGAACATGAAAATTATAATCTTGTGAAAGAGACAGACTTCTGTCTTGAAATTGTTTGAAAACTATAATAATTTTCAATTTGCTCTTTCATATTGATGTTTTCAATTCCTCCTCTTTTAAAACAAATTGCCTAAATTTAAAAGCATTATTTTCTCAGTCCCTCCTTAAATCCTTTCTGAATAGCTTGATTTCATTTTTTATAAGTGCTCAAATGAAAAGGAAGACACATTTAGTCTCCTTGGCATACAACAACTGCCTCTCTCAGAACTTCATAAAGAAATTTGATCAAGCAAAAGATAGGTCAGTAGTGAAAGATGGCAGAATTGTTTTACTTAGTTGCATGTACACATGAGCATTATTTTATAGGCAATGATCACTGATCCCAAACAAACAAATACTCTTCTCAAAGCCCTCCTAAAAGAAAATTGACCAAGGGTGTGGTCTTGTCTAGCCAAATAAGAATTGAAGGAACTTGTTGGAGTGAATGCAGGGTTTTTGTTTGTGAATTTGAATGAAATAAAGGATGAGAAAGCTAGTTTCTGAGGAAATGATCAAAGACTGCTAAAAATAAATACTGGGATAGTGGGAGGAACCATGGTGTGACAGTCTTTGGATATCTACATCTCTCCACAGGGGCTGCCTGCAAGGAGAGACAAGCCAATAGATTAATGCAATAGAAAACAAAGGAAGGTTTTCTTTAGTATCAGTAGAAACATATCTCTTTGGACAGGTTGCTTTCAAATTTTGATTTATCTAGGAAGTGCTAGGTTGATTTAATGACAAAATATTAAGAACAGAAAGAGCAGAACTGGAATCCAGTTAAGTAGAGACTTTAAAGGGAAGCCTCGGGAGACTTATATAACCACAAATAACAATGAGATCAAACTGGTTCTAATGCTTAGTGCTACTGAAACATCCAGTGGGTTTCTTTAGTTGATTGTTAACTGTATTTGGGTGCCTGACTCCTCAGTTTATATATTCTCCTAGGATTTTATGTTTTCATGATTCACTAAAAGGGCACATGCTTTCCTTTGACAAAATTCACCTTCCCTGCCATGTGTGAGAAGTTAATAAAGCATATATGAGGGGCTGGGGTTGTGGTTCAGTGGTAGAGTGCTCATCTGGCAGGTGTGAGGCACTGGGTTCAATTCTCAGCACTGCATATAAATTAATTAATTAATTAATTAATTAATTAATTAAAGGTCCATTGACAACTAAATATATATTTTTAAATAATGTATATATGAATGTATGCTGTGCAGATGTTTAGAAATAGGAAAATAGTATTAAGATAGACTGTACATTTCCTATTCTGGAAGTTTCCCTTAAAAGGAAACAGTATTCCAATACTGTAAATAACAAACAAACAACAACAACAACAAAAAAAAAACCCTTAGGGCTTTGTATGTATTCAAATATTGGTATAAACCAATCTTTAAATCATTTAGATACAAAGATATTATGTTTCATATAATTTTTTTAAAATAACGGCTTCTTTGGATATGCACTGGAGTACTTTAGATTACTGTGGAAAGTACAGATGTAAAAAAGTCACCTTCAATATCATCATGGAACTCTTCTGTGTTTATGCTGCAGCTTTCAAGAGAGCTGCCTCCCTCTTGATACTGGAACACTTCGGGAAATATGTACCACTATGCAAAATGCATAAGAAAAGAAAAGAAGCACAAGGACAAACTAATACCGTTCATGCAATCCAGAGACCAACCTTCCAGACTCAGTTGCCTAGCTAGCGGAATTCTATTTGTTCAGCATTTTGCTCAGTTTTACTTGCAGTGGTTGGGGGAAAGATTTCGATTTGTACTCAACTTTCCGAAAACGTGACCAACACCAAATATCCTTAGCTGGACCCTTCTAGCACTCTTTTAACTTAAATAAATTCAAGAGGCACTTGTGTGGTCTAAAAGATTGTCCAGATGAAACGAGGCTGAAATGTTATGTGAAGTGGGAGGGGAGAGCGTGAATAGCAACAGCGAGGATGGTGACCGAGGGCCGCTCCTGTCCATTGCGTGAACTGTCCTAAAGGGTCAAACTGTTCATCTTCAGCCCCTCTTTTCAGTATGCAATCCTACTTTAAGAGAACAAAAGCTCAAAGCAGGCGGTTATCAAGAAATGGGAGCACAATGATTTAAACTCATCCCCTAGCCTTAGAAAGAGAGGGGAGGCGAGTTCGTGTAGCAAGAGAAAAGTGAAGTAAGAGGAGGGGTGAGGGGGTGGAGATCTTTAGAAAGTCTTTGTTGCTTCTAAGACGCTTGAACTTTAAGACGACCCAAAAGCCCTAAAGTTTAGGGTAGGTGTTACTGTGGGGCCATAGGCTACATCCCATCCACACTTCGACCTCACAAGTCGCAAAAGAGGCCAACTGGTCCCAGCCTTGCTGTTGCAGGTGAATATCTGGGGGCGTCAAAGAGGGCGCCCTTTCTCGAAAGGACAACAGCAAAGTTTTGGTTGTCTTTCCAGGATACAAGAAAAGAGTATGTCTGTTTAAAGAAGGGCTGACTGACGTTCCTGCACAGCTGGAGTTCATAACCTAAATCCTTATCCTCCGGATGATCTTTCAGACAGGCGCAAATATGGCGAGAAAATTCTCCCCTAGCCA